TTTCACATGCACTCGGATCAAATGAATACATATCTTCAGTCAGGGGGCCATGCTGGTTTAATAAATGATTGTATTTTTGAGTAATGAGACCTGTGCGTGGTTTATTCGGCACATTTAGGTTTTTTAACTTGTACTGCAAATATTGTACACAAATTGTTGACTGCGTTAATCATGGTCATACCTAATTTCATTCAAGCAACCTTAAGGACACCCCTTAGCAACAATCCTTACATTTAATCTTTCACAAAAAGATAATATGAGGAATCATATGCATGAATAGTTTACCCTAGTAACTTGTTCATGCCATTTAGCAGCCTAACGGAATCATACTTACAGTCTATGCATGCAATGGATTCACGTTTTTGGACAAGGAAACTTCTGAACATAGGACCTTCTGAACATCGGACCTTCTGAACATAGGACCTTCTGAACATAGGACCTTCTGAACATAGGACCTTCTGAACATAGAACCTTTTGAACATCGGACCTTCTGGATATAGAACCTTCTGAATATCGGACCTTCTGAACATAGGACCTTCTGAACATCGGACCTTCTGAACATAGGACTTTCTGAATATCGGACCTTCTGAACATAGGACCTTCTGAACATCGGACCTTCTGAACATAGGACCTTCTGAATATCGGACCTTCTGAACATAGGACCTTCTGAACATCGGACCTTCTGAACATAGGGCCTTCTGAACATCGGACCTTCTGGACATAGGACCTTCTGAATATCGGACCTTCTGAACATAGGACCTTCTGAACATCGGACCTTCTGAACATAGGACTTTCTGAATATCGGACCTTCTGGATATAGAACCTTCTGAATATCGGACCTTCTGAACATAGGACCTTCTGAACATCGGACCTTCTGAACATAGGACTTTCTGAATATCGGACCTTCTGAACATAGGACCTTCTGAACATAGGACCTTCTGAATATCGGACCTTCTGAACATAGGACCTTCTGAACATCGGACCTTCTGAACATAGGACCTTCTGAATATCGGACCTTCTGATCATAGGACCTTCTGAACATAGGACCTTCTGAACATCGGACCTTCTGGACATAGAACATTCTGAACATGGGACCTTCTTAACATCGGACCTTCTGAACATCAGACCTTCTAAACTTATAACCTTCTGAACATAGGACCTGCTGAACATCGGACCTTCTGAACATCGGACATTCTGAACATAGGACATTCTGAACATCGGACATTCTGACCAAAGTCCTTCTGAACATAGGCCCTTCTGACCATCGGACATTCTGAACATAGGACTTTCTGAACATCGGACATTCTGAACATCGGACATTCTGAACATAGGACGTTCTGAACA